TATTATTTTATGTAATTTCTATTGAAGATACCTCACACACATCAAGTTGATCTGCATCTTCTACTTATGCTAAGCTAAGTGTTAAAAAAAACTGTAAGTCACAGGGTGTTTATTCATTAATTTTCCTCGGGAAAATGACGTAGATGCTTAATTGAAAGTGATAAATATGACATGTTTATTCTTTTTACTTTTTTCATCAAATATAATGCAATATGCAACATCTAATGTTTGTTCCTTGCCTTGCAGAATCCAAGTAAACGATCAGATTGTTGAAGTTGATGGGATAAGTCTGGTGGGGGTAACCCAGTTTTTTGCAGCAACTGTATTAAAAAATACAAAAGGCACAGTCAGGTATGAATAATTATATATAATTAAGCAATCATTGATTTATTCCCTTATTTATAATATATTTGAATGAGTATTCAAGGCGGCTAACAAAACCATAGTCCAAATAGATAAAATTAAGTTAATGCTAAAAGTACATTTTTATCAATTTTCTAAATTCAGAGAGAATGAGAGACAAACACAACTCTTGAGAGAAGGCTATTCATAGTTTGGGAGCAATGCAAGAAAAGGTTGAGCAAACTTCTGACAGCAGGGAAATCTTCCAAATGTACTGTCCTGTAGACCATAAATCCAGACAAGTTCTAATGGGACATGAGGCAGTCCTTCAGATAGTCTAGTCCACACATCTTAGGAACATTTAAGTCAAAACTTTATATTGTGCCCATTAATGCAGATATTTTAATACTAGTATTATGTGATATGAAGCGGTATATAAGTCTGAGTGCTATTGCTATCTCTATATTATGATGCACTTTGCCTCCAATGCAATTTCTGACCATATTTCAAAGATTGTTTCATATAAAGTGCGTTTCAGTTATCAAAATGTCATGTAAGAAAACAAAGCATGGTTAACTGTTGCCAAGGTATAATAAAATATTAAAAATACCATTGTATTTTTTTCATTGGTGCATTAATGTTGGTTAATTTTTCTCCTTAGGTTTCTGATTGGAAGAGAAAAACCAGGAACTCAGAGTGAAGTAGCTCGCCTTATCAGCGAGACATTGGAACAAGAGAGATACTTATATGAGCAACAATATGCCCATGAAACAGAACAGGTAACAAGATGTTGTGTGTGTGTGTGTGTATACATATACGTACACATATACATATGTATGACGGTCAGTCAGGACGAATGGCCCTATCACACAATCAATGAGTAAGAAACTAGGTTAGCAAGGTTTATAAGAGATCTCTCCACCCCCAACACTTTACTCTGAAGACGCTGACAGTGGATCAGTGAAAACTAAGTTTGTTTTAGTATTGTAAATAGTTGCTTTTATTGTTTTAATTTTTTTTAACAATAAACAGCTGATTTATATTCTTCCCGGAGTTCGAGGATTGTATATTATTGAACAGATATGCCCGGGATTCGGATTTTTACAGTCATTAAGAATATACATGTAAATATATACATACCTACTCACATTGGATTTGTTGTTTTTCAAAACATTTCTACGTTAGTTTTTTCCTGTAGGCATCATAAAAGTATAATGAGTTTACCAGAAACCTTGGAAAACAGGGAGCAACAGATATAAAAAGTTCTCTAGGCTGTTATCTGACAGTTAGAAATCATTCATGAACTCTTTATCTGAGGTGATAATCAGTTGAGGAAGAAATAAATGGAGTGGGGAGAAGAAGGATAAAAATATTTTCTCAACAGCAATTTATGGATTGCATAAATTTGACAAAGAGATTACATGGCAGGCAAGTCAAACGTTTTTGTTTTTTATTAAAAGGGACAGAGCCCTTCAAGAAAAAACAGGCACACGAGTAGAGAGTTGTGTCCTCATTGCATCCTGCATTATTTGTCCCTTCTGTCTCATTCATAGACTAACAAAATCATTCCCAGTTCTTCCTGTGGATTATTATATTTTGTTCTCCTTTTTTTCTTTTGCTTATTAAGCTCCATTTTTTTCTCCCTGTCTCCATTTTTCTTTCAACCATGGACAAGCTTCAGGTTCCTTCTTTTAAATCTTGTTATTTAATGAGACCTGGGAAAACTGCCTTTTCTGTGGTTGCCCTGTTCTCTGGAACGATACCCAGCCCAAGATATTTCATAGGCCCTAACTTTTTTTGCCTTTAGGGGCCAGTTGAGTGGGAGTCCCCTGTGATTGCTGTGTTATGATTGCTATTTATTCATTTTTATGCTGTACGCTTCCCATGATCACGTTGGTTGAGTTGGGTGGAGTTTTAAATCATATAAATAAATATTATATCATTTTTCCTTTTTTACCTTTGCCCATGTGCTGTGATCCTCGCTATGTCTCTCCTACCTACATATATAACAAAAGGTAGTCATTCGGTTTCAGTAATTAAATATGGTTCAGCCAATGAGTAATTTTGCAAATTTGATTTGCAACTCAAACTTGCCTCTCATTTCTCCTTTCCCATGCACAGTTTTGCTGTTTAAACAAGGAGGATTGCCTCTTCATTTTTTTAAGATCACTTTATAGATCTGTAAAATCCTTTTGAAAGGGATTATTGACAGTAGACGTTCATGCTATAAGATGTGTAGTGAGGAACCTGTAGTTACACAAATTGATAGTGAATCTCACGACTTCTCATGTTCAGCTATATTGATTCCTCTGATAAACTACAAATTGTTAATGACTGCATTTGGTTGAAACAATAAGCCATGCATCTTGGTTTAGTAAAGCATTGGGCATAATACAATTTAGCTATTATTTTATATTATTCTTATAAATGCTGTTATTTAATAAATGGAAGTCTGTGGTTGGTTATATTTGTATTAACATTCGTAGTTCCCTGATAAAAATCACATTGGACTATAAATTAAATACTTAATTATTTAAGCATTAAATCAAAAAATTAAAAGCAAGGCAACTGTAATTTTCTTCATTTTCTTTGTTTTTCTTCTGCTACTCTTTGCATCCATTTGTGTTTTCCTGATTTGTGAAGCCCCTTTGCTCAAAAAGAGGAACAAAGTGAGAACGGTTGGGCAACATGGACTAGCAGACTTCTTGCTCAAAATATGCTTTCAGCCAAATTTGATGTTCAGATTCAAAGTTTGAATCTGAGACCAATGTAATCAAATTTGATGATTTACAATGTCATATGAACCAACAATTAAACATGTAAATATAAATTATTAAGCATTTACTTTTAAAAATGTTAAACATTTTAAGCTTTGTATGTTCATAAAAGTAGCATTAATGTTTATTTTTGTATTAAAACCATTTTAAGAAAGTTTTATTTTGCTTTAATAAAATATTGTTTAATATTGTTTTAGGATGAAGATTATGATGAAGATGAACTTTCTTTTGAATCACATTTGCAAGAAAAATCAGTAGAAGTATTTTATCTTCCCGAAAATGAAGATATTAATTTCCCATTAGACATGGATTCTACACAATTCATGCTGAAATTTAAAGAGGTAGAGTGCAATTTTGTTATCTCTTAAAATTGATGATAGGAAGTTTACAGTAAATTAACTATTGTATGTTCGAAAATCTGATGTTACAATTTAATTATAACTTTTTCAAAGATACCTTTGGAACTGAAGAACCCAATAAAAATTCATGGATTATATTGTATTTTTAAAATATTTTCAAGATGTGTATGTAGGAATTATACTTCTTATTCAAAATATAAAATATCCTGGGAATTATGTTCATTTTAATAACTCCAGAAAAACCACTTTATATATCTCATTCATTGAGAAATATTGTTTAGTAAGCATATCTAAATATGTGATAAGCGTAGTACATCATCAAAATCATAATAAAATCATTAATGCACGAACAATACCAATTCAATATAGATAGTCCTCAACTTACAGCAGTTCATTTAGTGACTGTTCAAAGTTACAACGGCACTGAAAACAGTGACTTATGACCATTTTTCACACTTATGAACTTTGCAGCATCTACGTGATCATGTGATCAAAATTCGGATGCTTGGCAACTGAACTGTAGTTAAGGCAGTTGCAGTATCCCGGAGTCACATGATCACCTTTTGCAACCTTCTGACAAGCAAAGCCAATGGGGGAGCCAGATTCATTTAGCAGCTGTGTTATTAACCACTTCAGTGACTCACTTAACAAGTGTGGCAAGAAAAATCGTAAAATGGGGCAAAATTCACTCAACAAATGTCTCATTTAGCAACAGAAATTTTGGGCTCAATTGTGGTCGAGGGGTACCTGTATTGCAATAATCCAAGCATATAAGCACAACAAGGGCATAAGTTACTGTTCAGTACATGCAACATCATCCACATAATATCATCTACGGGATTACACTATGTTCTACCTTTACCTCTTCCCAATCCTCCCCTTCCATTCCATTCTTCAGTCCTTTCTGGGGAAAAATCCAGATAGCTGATCCAACTGCTGCGATGTCTCCACTGTCCTGCTTTTGGCTGCCTCAGCAAAACAGTTGTGGCCTCAATGCTGTTGATGTGCCACTGTCCCCCCCACCCCCACCCCAAGTCAGCTGCTTCCAAAGGAGTTGCCTGCTCAGACTCTCTTACTGCCTTCCACTGTACTTTTAGCTAATGACACTCTGATACTCTTCTAAGTCATCTGAAAGAAGAAAAAAAGCATATCCTTTTTGTATAAAGCATATCTAATAATAATAATAATAATAATAATAATAATAATAATAATAATAATAATAATAATAATAATAATAAAGTTGGAAGGGACCTTGGAGGTCATCGAGTCCAACCCCGTGCTCAGGCAGGAAACCCTATACCATTTCAGACAAATGGCTGTCCAGTCTCTTCTTAAAAACTTCCAGTGTTGGAGCATTCACCGCCTCTTTATACCTTTGTTTTGATTTAGTTGTATAGTAGGCTTGAGAGAATTAGTTTTTATCTTTTAAGCCTCCTAATGAATACTTCTTGCCAACAATAATAATGTGGATTATGTAAAGAAATATTTTCAGGCAATGTATATGGGAAAGTATATTAATATATCAGTTGGAGCTATTTTTATCTATCAATGTATCATGATTCTTTAACATGAATCAATCAATGCCTCTATTCATATTTATCTTACATAAGCGGGTTGTATAATTGTCATCTGGAAACAATTCAAAGAGAGGAAGAGCTGACTGAAATTTGGATTTCAGCAAAATTGGTGGGAAAAACAAGTTATAACTACTTCCTTTGACTAGTTCTAGTAATGCGCCTCTTATGTTTGGACAAAACTCTTGACTATAAGCCACAGAATAGCAATCTCTGTCCCTTCAGATATTGCTGAATTTTATCACTTAGAAGATTTAGTCAGCATGGCTAGTAGTGAGATAATTTATGAACTATAACCTAGCAGTATCTTGAGACCAGTTGGTCCGGTGTAAGTATATAATAAACAAGTGGCTTTATTTAGCTTGAGGAGAAGAGCAAGTGGGCACTTTGAGATTATGAAACCTTATTGTTTCAAATGTGATTGAAAAAAATGTGAGCAGTAATAGATATATAAAATGAATTTTCAAATATCAGTTGCACCTTTTTTTCTTCAATAAAACTTTCTATGCATTTTTTCTAGTTACAATTAAAACATGCAGTTACAGTAGCTGAAGTTAATCAACTTAAGGAAAAGGTAAATCTTCAATATATATATATTTTTAAAAAAATATTTAAATTCAGTTATTTGTAAATTTAAATTGAATATCTTAAAGACAAACAAGATAAAACCAAATTCTTAATTTCAACTAAAAATGGAAAACCTTATTATTTATGCAATTTGTGCTAATTTGTGAGGAATATTTTCTGTGGAATTTCATTACACTTGTTGAAATAAAAATAAGTAAGCATAGCTAGATGCATGCAAATGAAAGGCACAAAGATTGGAGGAATAATTTGTTTTGTAAGGATAACAAAATTTCATTTGTAAGTAAGGGCAGTGCCTAGGGTACATAGGTTAGAATTATTTGATACTTCGAGATTTTTAATCTGCTATAGAACAACCTTTTACAAAAGTCCTGTCCTTCTTTCCCAGTTAGTTAAACAGATGTTCCAGTGCAACATGAGATGTACTGTTTGTACTGCATTTTTAATAGAAGAGAAGGCAATCAGCATATTTCCTAGTGTATGGATTTAGATCTAGGCCATTAGCTTTCTTGTAATTAAAACATAATATATGACTTGAATTACTGGATCTAAATCACAGATGGACTCCTACAACTTTAAAACTTTTGCAGTATAAACTGAAAACAGTTTCTAACAGTGCTGCAGTGATAGAAAAGTAACAGGTAATCCAGTGGGCTTTTTTTTTGCTGACTATGTTCCTTGAAGTTTTGAGTTTGACAACATTGTGTAGGAATATTTTCCCTATTTATATGCATTCTTCATTTAGCATGTTTAGTATACATTCTTCACGTGGTGTAACCTTCAAGAAACTAGGCAATTGTGTAGGAGAGAGAACATTTGTTTCAAAGCTAACATATTGATATCAGCAAAAAAATATGAAACATATCCATAAAATTTAGCTTACAAATGACGTTTTGGAAAATAAGGTAAATATTTATTTTGCTTTCGGGGCAGTAGATCTTTTATACCAGTTGGAACAATCTGAATATTAGAAATTAAAGGCAACATTTTTAGATGGCCAGAGATAAAAAAAAAACATTAATTACTATAAAATCAATTAATCTATGTGGATTTTATGCAAATGGGCAGCTGCTGATACCTAAAACTAAGGTAAAATTAATAATTGTTCCTTGTTACATTTTGGAGAGAAATTTACTTGTTTGGTTTTAGTCAATTAATCTATACATGAATGAGTAATTACTAAAGTCTAATAATCTGAACTTTTTTTTAAGCTAAAAACAACAGAAGCTGAAAAGGTTGAATGGGAGCTAAAGAAATCACAGCTCCAGGAAACTATAGATGAGAACAAAGAAAAAATTAAGAAATTAGAAACCTACTGGTTAGAAGCCCAAAGTTTATGCAAAACACTAAATGAGCATCTTAAAGAAACTCAAGAACAATATGATGTGCTGGAAAAAAAGTATAACAAAGCAAAGAAGTTACTCAAAGAATATCAACAGAAGTGAGTGTGTTATGCTTTGTCAGTTAAGCTCATAGATATCTCTGCTTGTAATTTCTTACATGGACAATGTTGTGTGCTATTGCTGTGCGTTTTGTTTCTTTATGTGACTGGGCAATTTGCATCAGGGTCTTGAATTAGTTTAAAGTAGCATATACTTTAAGCTCATGAGATTGGTATTAGCTGGTAAAAAGAGGCAATCTGTTCTGCAAAGAGGAATGGTGGGAAAGAGAGACAGTGGTGAAGATGAAAGAGCAAAGGTCAGATGGAGAAAAAAGGCAGGAAAGAGGTTGAAACTCTATGTCACATTTAGACCATCTGTCCAAGTGTGTTATGTCATATATATTTATAGGCAAATATGACTAATGAATACTACAATATAAACAAAGAATTGAAAATAAGAGGAAATTCTTTTTTAAAGAAGAAAAATTATTGGTTGCTAACAAGCTCAATTTAATAAACTGCTTCAGGGTTTTTTTTCTTATTACTCCTTTATGTTGTCTAATCATATGTTTGCTCCCTCTCCCAGAGAAGTAGAACTCATGATAAAAGAAGATCATACAAAAATTATGGAAGAAAACAATCAAGAACATGCAAATCAATTAAGAATTTTGCAGGAGAAGGTATGGACAAAATTGTATTTTAAATTTTGTTTTAAAGATCTTTGTAAATGTGTCTCAGTTTTTAAAATGATATTTATCATCTTCAGATCACAGAGCTTGAAGAAAAATTAAAAATATATGAGAAACTCCCCTATATGTTTGGAAATGGTATTTTATTTGACTCTGTCACACCAAATACTGAACAACTGGCAGAACATTTTGAAATTAAGGATGATATGCAGGAAATTGAATCTTCGGTGGAGAAATTAGATTTTTCTGGTGAGTAATAAAGAAATCTATTGGTATGCTCTGTGAACTATGATATCAAAACCTCTGGCAAAGTCCTAGATACTAGATACTATACTAATTGTGACTAAAAATTCCATTGTTAAGCAACGTGATCATAAGTTGAAAAACCATGTGACTACATGGTTTAGAGATGGCAGTCCTGCTTCCAATCATAAGTGAGAATCCCACTTGACCTTGATTTCCAACTTTCTGCTGGCTTTCCCATCGACTTTGCTTGTGGGAAGCTGGCAAGGAAGATTGCAAATCTTGATCATGGGATCATGGGAGCTGTGAAGCTATAATTTGCAAGCCCACAATCAAGACTGCAGGGACTATAATGTTCCATTATAACTACTCCTTGTTATCATTGTAAATTTGAACAGACACCAAATGAACAGTCATTAAAGAGGACCACTTATACTAAATGACCTGCAACACATTTTTATAACGTGACGTTAAATTGTCATTCTACTAGAGCTGGTACAGTGATACTTATCTTCTTTTGTAAAACAATGTATCAGAATCTAAATTGTTATTTATCTAATTGTTACAAGTAAAAAGAAATATGGAATAATTTCATAATAAAATGGGGTGAGGACTGTAGTTTTTAATAAGTTACTATGCATTTGTTACAGATTTTGATACCTTTGTTGGAGACCCACCAAGGTTAGATACAAGTGCTCATAAAGCTAAGGCACAGCTTGCCTTGAAAGTAAAACGTCAGCCACCTTCTCGGTCAAAGCTAAAGGAATCTCTTGGTGCCAAACAAACAGATAGAAACTCACAGGTATAGTATTCATTTTATTTTCCAAGGTATAATTTGGTACTTTTTTATGATTAAAGTATACATGATATAAAATACATAATTTACTCAGCATTTCTGGCAGATGACCTAAAACGGGTGTCAAACTCGCAACATCACACGACGTGTTGTGACGTATTGTGACTTTTTTTCCATTGCCGGCAATGGGATGGGCGCGGTTTTGCCACGACGCACCCAGCCCACAGGCCGGCAGTTTGACACTCCTGACCTAAAAGGTCTCTTATTCCTTTGTTCTCCCAGCTTCTCAAACAAGTGTTTTTAGGCATATTTAATATTTATTCATTCATTTTCTGTAGCCGCCTAACTCAACCAAGTAACTCTGGCCGTCTTACAATTGATGTAGATACTGTTCATTCTTCTGCAGCTTTCCAGTAGTTATCAGATTTCAACTGCTGGTGCATTTGACAGACTTTAAGAGAAATATTAGGCTAATAGGCATATACCAGTGATGGCGAACCTTTTAGAGACTGAGTGCCCAAAAACTGGCCCTGCCCCCACTCCAGCCCCCTGCCCTGACCCCACTCTGCCCCCCATCCCCCGTCCTGCTTTCCCACAGGACCACTTACCGCCTCCAGGGCCCATTGCAGATCGCCCAGGCAGCCCAGCAGTGCTATGGCGGCCACACCCTCTGCCCGCGCCTGCAGCATCAACTGCATGATGGGGTGTGAGAGCAGAGTCTTGTCTATGCTGCCTGGCTGCCATGTCCTTGGCTGCGCTGCTCCATGTGGGCTACCCTCGAGGGTAACTCTCCTTCAGGGGGGCTGCTGGAGAGAAGGGGGTCGCGGGGGGAGGCAAGGCTGGGGCAACGGCACGTGTACCCACAGAGAGGGCTCCGAGTGCTGCCTCTGGCACCCGTGCCATAGGTTCGCCACCACTGACATATACAGTTCCTTAAAAAATGGATTCAGTTAACAGGGACACAAGGGGTTTTATATTATCTCTTTAGTCTCACTTCTTTCCAGCATGTGCAAGTAATTTCCTTCTTGGAAAATAGCTAACTTAAATTGGGTAGAAGAGGATAAAGTAATGATTACATTTGTTACATTTTGTTTGTGGATTTGGGTTTGGCTAGAAGGTATATAATTTCACAGACCTTTTTCTACTGCTTAAGGAAATACTTATTTCTCACTCATAAAACTGATTTTTTCTTACATTTATTTCAGCTTTATGGAAATCATTACTAATGTGGAAAGACTTTAAAAATCAATTTAAAGCATACAGCCCAGTGATTAGCCCTATAATCCATACTGAAACAGCTGATAAGGGGGGGAAAAATAATTTGGCATTTATTTATATAGCAATAGCACTTAGACTTATATACCGCTTCACAATGCTTTACGGCCTCTCTAAGCGGTTTACAGAGTCATATTGCCCCAACAGTCTGGGTCCTCATTTTACTGACCTCGAAAGGATGGAAGGCTGAATCAACCTTGAGCCTGTCAGGATTGAACTGCTGGCAGCCGGCAGTCAGCAGAATTAGCCTGCAATACTGTATTCTAACCACTGTGCCCCCATGGCTCAATATAAGATTTTTTTTTAAAGAAATGCACCTACCTCTACTTCAACAAAGGGTTTGCATTAAATTATTTTATGTTTATTTCAAATCTGGTATTAATTAAAAGTTACATTGTACAGTAACTGTAAATTATTCTTTTAAACTCCTTTGTAGAATATAAGAATCACAAACTTTGAAATGTTTGGAAATTTGGAAAATGACAGAAATCAAACAAAAGTAACTTCTATTATGGTTGAAAAAGACATATTTTTTTCTTTTTGCTATCTTTTTAAAAATTATGTTTGGGTAATACAGTTGTTCGTTCACATGCTTTTCTGCATACATAGATTGGAACAATCCCAATCAAGAGAAGAACAATAAAATATCAAAAGATATTTTTGATATTTTCTGGTGATATTTTCTTGTTTTTATTTGACTTTACAAAGTTTCTGCTGATAGTGCTTGTCCTAGCTATATTGCTACTAGACTTCCAGTTCCAGTGTTGGAGCATTCACAACTTTTAGAGACAGGTTATTCCACTGATTGATTGTTCTAACTATCAGGAATATATACACGTACAAGAGAGAGAGAGAGAGAATGTTTAATTATATGTTACTACATAATAATGTAAAGAATTATGCATGTTATTACAAAACAATATATAATGTTTGCATAATAGAATGTGTAATTACAATTACATTTTAACATTTTAACATTTCATATTAATATAATTACCTTGCTCATTTATATATTTAAGTACATAGAGATGAAAAGATGTGATGAAAGTGAAATTGTAACAAAATTAAGCAACAGGTTCTGGTATGCCAACAAGCAATTTAAGTTGGTGTTATAAAGAAAGAGTGGTATGCAGGAAGGGAATATTTCTAGCAAAAACATTTCACAACAATGAAAGCATCACAGAAAAGATACTGTCTTAATGTTACCTTAAGTTATTTCAGCAAGGTGATTCACAGCGAATTATGGATAACAGCTTTAACAATTGAACAATATAGGAAAACCTGGGTGTTAAAAAATCATAGTCCTAAAGTTGCTTAGAATATTAATGTTGTTTTCTTATGTTTCAGGATATTAATGATGATACAAAAGAAGATACCTTGAGTAAGTTCTCAGATGTGACAGAAAAGGTCATTTCATCAGAGCAAAGTGATACAGATACAAAAAATGATAAATTGGAATGTGCTGAAAACAGTGACCTTTCATTAGAACCAAGTCCACCAGTTTCTGTGCACTCTTCTCCAGTGTATAAACTGCAGACAGAAGACATTGCTGGAATATCTCAGTCACTACCTACTGATGATTCTGCTCCAAATTCTCCTGGATATTGCCGAAATATTAAGCAAAGAGAATCAAAAGGAAAGGGGAAAGTGAACAAAGGTAATATTAAAATGATTGTGTTACATTAAGATCTGCTGTACACATATTTTTCCAAGAATGTACAATTATGGTTTTCACTACTATCCGAGCAAGATATATTTTGCTCTTCATACATAGGCAATGTCAAATTTGGGGGATATTAACATCATACTTATATCTCTGAATTTACTTCTATGAATCTGATGCATCACAGTAACCAACAGATATCCCTAAAACACATGATATTCTACTAAATTGCACCTCTGGAATTAAAAAAAAAAAGACGATAGTCAATCTTTTTTAAACAATTAATCTAATATACCCTAAAGAGAATTTTTTTGTTGGACTAAATGAGTCCTTAAGAAACATTGCATCTTAAATCAGAAAGATATTGGTTCTGCAATATAGGATGCTCCAATTCCATATTTAAAATTACTTTTATATTATCAAACTTTATTTAATATTTTTGTTTGTTTTTATTGAATTATCAGTTTAACTTGGATAAAAGAATTATTCAGTTTACACAATACATCCAGAGACTGCTAAAGTATCAAGGTCTACCAGGGACATAATAAATGCTTTAACTGAATACATTGTTCTTCTATTTTTTTCAAATTACATTGTTTCAATAATTTTTCAAAAGTTTTAAAAGTACATATTACAATTTAATTGGTTAATCTCCTTTTCATCTTATAATATCTATCCCCCCTCTTTTCCTGCCATTTTAAATTAAGAATAACTCAAAAATATAAACTTCTGATGAGATCTTAAATCAATTGCCTGTTCTGCATTTTGAAGCACTATGTGAACGTTTTGATGGATCAAAATAAAGATGAGTAGCAGAAGTCAGTATTAACATATGAGCCCATCTGGTGATGACCATAGCATATGGAAGATTGTGATTTAAGACATGAAAAGAGTAAATGGGAAAGTGCTTGAATTACAGTGAAATGAAGGACAGAAAATAGAATACGGGTAGTCCTTAACTTACAACAGTCCATTTAGTGATTGTTCAAAGTTACAATGGCACTGAAAAAAGTAACTTATGACCATTTTTCACAGTTACAACCTTTGCATCATCACATGCTCATGGGATCAAAATGCAGATGCTTGGCAACTGGTTCATGCTTATGACCATTGCAGCGTCCCAGGGTCATGTGATCACCTTTCTGACAAGCAAAGTCAGTTGGGAAGCCAAATTCACTTAACAACCATGTTACTAACTTAACAGCTTCAGTGATTCACTCAATAACTGTGACCAGAAAGGTCATAAAATGGGGCAAAATTCACTTAACGAATATCTCGCTTAGCAATATAAATTTTGGGCTCAATTGTGGTTGTAATTTGAGGACTACCTGTATTTGTCTATCTGAAACTATTTAAAAAATGAAGCATGTAATAAATCTGAAGGTAGGCTGATCTTGTGGAGTAATGAATTCACATATGAAAGTGTAAGTTTAATTGAATGAAAGCAGTGATGTTTTTAAATTGGTATATGTAGGTTATGGTACAATATATGAGAGTAGGAATCAATAAGGTGGTGGTTGTTACATGTTGTATTTTAATTAATAATGATAATGAAAAACCAGAGATGAATTTTGAGAAAGACTGTGTAACATTTTGAAAGAACATAATCCAGGGGGGAAACTATTCTGGAATTATTCTGAAAGCTTCCTTGAAACACGGTGAAAAGAATCGTATTGTAGAATGATGTAGAAGAGTACAAAATTAACAATAGTGGGAAGTGTTAAAAAGAACACTTGATGAAATAATGGGAAAATGAAGATAAGGGAAGGATTACCTCAAAAAAATTGTATATTGTCTATAAAAAGATAGTTGAAAAAGTGTAGTAAAAGAGAACCAGGAATAGTTAGGTTGAAAGAGTTGATTCTGATGAAAATAGAACATTGTTCTATGAATGTAATTAAAAATAAAAGTGATATGAGGAATGAGTATTTTAGAGCTTGTATAGGAGTGACTGGGTCACATTAAAGACTAGAACTGAAATGAATTCTAGAAATGTTAATGCCGAATCTTAAGAAGATATCATTATTGTCCTCCTATACCAGTGGTGGCGAACCTATGGCACGGGTGCCAGGGGCGGCACTCAGAGCCCTCTCTGTGGGCACGCACGCCGTCGTCCCAGTCCTAGGCCTTCAGCTGGGTTTTATAAAACCTTTTTGCTTTAGGCCTCCACCACCGTGTGCAAAAAAAAAAAAAAGGTTCAATCAATCAGTCAATTTCAACTTCTCGCGGGAAAAAAAAGATCTTGCAAAGTTGGAATTGATTGATTGAACTTTTTAGTCCCACCCAGTCTGCCGTTACCACCGCAACCACGCCCTCCCAATTGGCCACACCCAGCCAATGGGCCACACCCACCCGGCACCCGACGATGCATAAGTGGGTTTTGGGTTGCAGTTTGGGCACTCGGTCTCTAAAAGGTTCGCCATCACTGTCCTATACAAAAGGGAAAGATAGATAACAAGAATGCAAAAACTATAACTATAAAAATAAATGCAAAAACTGTATAATTCTCTAAACAGGTAATTGTTTACCTCTTTATACTACCTATATAGTCCACCAAGTTCAGAGTGTTTTTTTCAAGCTTCTGACCATATCAGCTTTAACTAAAAAATTGATCAGAGCTAAGACAGCTATAATTTATTTTGATGATGAGAAAGCAACTGATATAGTCTCTTGGCAATTTTTGAAGTGTCTTTGATTTAATGGTAATCCTTGGTTTATAGCCATTCATTCAGTGACATTCAAAGTTACGACAATGCTGAACAAGTGATACTGTGATGGAATGGGTCTGCAAAGGGGGAGGTGATTGGACAGACTACAATAATGCAGGAGGCTCCCAGAAGGAGGGAGCACATTTTGAAAAAAAAAAAAAGGTGGGGGAGGGGAGAAAAGCATAGTCCAGAGCTGGATCATGGGAAGTGGGAGAGATTTAGAAAAGCCACTCCCTAGAATCTCACAGGATACATTTGTTAGGATAGGATAAGTTTAGTCTGGCAAAATTCTATCTATATAGTGTATGTAAATAAAGACTGAATTTGGCTGGATTGTTTTATTTTGTCCTTGAGCTAGGCTTAATAGCTCCTCAAAGTTACATTCTTGCAGTCATGTGACTGTGATTCCTGACTGCTTCCCACAAGCAAAGTCTTTTTTCTAATAATTTTATTAAAGATTATATTATGCACATATAACTAACACAGCTAGACTTGCGGTCAAGGTTTTCAATCTTTAATGAGCAATAAAAAAGTAAACTCCAAAGTAATTAAAATGCTCGGGTTTGGTTGAACCTTGAGTCCATAAAAGGCTATATTAATGGCTCTGAGCTCTTTGGAATCTAAGGACTCTCAGTTGTTTGTAAGACATTGTAAAAAGGTGTGGTTTTGCCTTCTACTGACATCCGCCCCTCTCATCTGGAGTTCATATGGGTAATCTTGCTTTAGAGAGAATTCAGTAGCCTGGATCCAGCATCCAATGGCCATTATTTTAGCCATAATGTCTCCCGTTGTCCACAGGGCATCAGGCCGTTGTTCCTTGCCAGAAGCAACCTTCCCAGAAGCCAGAGTTTACAGCCATGTGAGGTTCTCACTTAATGACCCATGCAGTCTTGCTTCACAACTGTCACAGGGACTGCTCTTGCTAAGAGATGTCACACAGCAGAGTGATGGCAATTCCGGTCCAAATTGCCAGAAAATTACCTGTATTTGGGATTCTTGTTATTTTTTTTAAATTTTAGATTGATTTAACCTATAAATCATTGTTAAAATAGTGGGCCTCTCTTTTGTTAAATTTACAGTACGGTATACATGAAGGATGCCCTCCTTATTGTTATTATATGCTGATGATATTTTGCATTTGATAGACTAGAAATGTCTGTTCCTAATCTTATTAATATACTAGCTGTACCCAGCCACGCGTTGCTGTGGCTCAGTCTGGTAAAAGCGTGTGTTGCTTTTACGTCCAACAGATGGCGCTGTTTTTCAAAAAAAGCATGTTTTTACCAGTCACAGGTGTGACATCTATATAATATAGGTATATAAAAACACGCGCGTATTCGAATGCAACGTTGTGTCAAAATTTCAAAGCAATCGGTGAAAAACTTTCGCAGATTTAAGATTTTGAACAAACGAGCATTTACATTTTTATTTATATAGATGATATATAACATATAAATATAAATTCTATAAACTGCAGTAAATCAGACTTGATGCTGTAACAAAATTTGGAAAAGTGTAAGGATTGCGCATTTTAATTTATACCCGTATATCCTCGAGTATAAGCCGACCCGAATATAAGCCGAGGCACCTAATTTTACCACAAAGAACTGGGAAAAAATATTCAGTGTCGACTTTTAGTGATTGCATAGATTTCCCCCCCCCAAAAAAGAACTACGGTACTCACTTTCCTCAGTTCTCGAGACGCTGACTCGAGTATAAGCCGAGGGGGGCATTTTTCAGCACAAAAAATGTGCTGAAAAACTCGGCTTATACTCGAGTATATACGGTATATTGACTTCTTTATCACAACATAAGAATTCCAGCAGTATTTTCAGCTGATGACCTTTTCCCGTTTTGGAGATGAAAGACAATCCAGACAGATAATCAAGGATTACTTTGAGTACTTGGTGTAAGATGTATACTTAAGGTAAATGCAGCACAGCAGTTGATTTATATTTTAAGAGGTTTTTATATATTTATTATTCCATCCAATTATCTTAAATTTGTAAGGTATTGAATAGATTTCTATGGCAAGGACCTCCAGGAAGATTTCATTGCATAAATTACAAGTACCTGCTAAGAGATGTGGATTTAACTTCCCACATGTTCCAATTCATTCTTACTTCTTTATTATATTGTTGTCTACTGTCTGGAATAAGGAATTTCAAGTTTTACCCTCACTTTGGCTCAAATTGAGAGTTATTGTCATACCTCTGAAATTTTGGCAAGTAATAGGACCTAGGCAAAGGCAGTTTAAAATGAGTGGACCCTTCAACTATGCAAGACAAAAAATAAAATAAAAAAGTACAGTGGTACCTTAACAGAATAAGAGTTGGAAGGGATCTTGGAGACCTTCTAGTCCAACCCCTTGCTCAGGCAGGAAACCCTATACCATTTCAGACAAATGGTTATCCAATCTCTTCTTAAAAACTTCCAGTGTTGCAGCATTCACACCTCCTGAAGGCAGGTTGTTCCTCTGATTATTTGTTCTAACTATTAGGAAATTTGTCCTTAGTTCTAGATTGCTTCGCTGCTTGATTAGCTTTCATCCATTGCTTTTTGTCTTGTCTTCAGGTGTTTTGGAGAATGGGTTGACCCCCTCTTCTTTGTGACAACCCCTTAGATATTGAAACATTGCTATTATGTCCCCCCTCGTCCTTCTTTTCATTAAACTAGACATACCCAATTCCAGCAACCGTTCCTTATATGTTTTAGCCTCCAGTCCCCTAATCATCTTTGTTGCTCTTCTCTGCACTCTTTCTAGAGTCTCAACATCTTTTTTACATTTTGGTGACCAAAACTGGATGCAGTATTCCAAGTGTGGTCTTACCAAGGCATTATAAAGTATTAACACTTCGCATGATCTTGATTGTATCCCCTCTGTTAATGCAGCCTAGCACTGTGTTGGTTTTTTTGGCAGCTGCAGCATGCTGCTGGCTCATATTTAAGTGATTGTCCACAAGGACTCTCACAGATCCCTCTCACAGTTACTACTGTTGAGCCAGGTACCACCTATACTGTACCTGTGCATTTGGGGTTTCTTGCTTAAATGTAGAATCTTTCTTTTTTCACCATTGGATTTAGATAGCGCCCAATGATCAAGTCTGTCAAGATCCTTCTGTGTCTTAAGCCTGTCTTCTGGAGTGTTGGCTATTTCTGCCTGCTTGGTGTCTTGGTACTCAACTGCTTGGTACTCAAATACTCATTGTTTGTTTGGTACTCCATCCACAAGCTAGAGCTTGCCAGTGTCAGCTGCCTTGTGACTCACCACATTATTCCTTATGGGAATAATTTGTTTGGTGCTCATTGTTTTGGTACTCACTGCACCTTCTGGAACCAATTAACATTGAGTACCAAAGTACCACTGTAACACCAATTGGTCACAGATCTAACTGAACCATTTACCTATAAAAAGTTTGCATGTCATCAGTAATCACAGTTAAAAATAATATATTTCTGGAAGACAAAAGAGTTTAAGATAACGCAAGCCATTGGTAAGTGTGTACATTCAGCCTGCAGAATTTATGCTTTACTAATAACAAGTTAATTTGGTGTATACTATATAGACCAAAATATTCTGCACAGCTTTAGAATGGTACATCGTCTTGCCTTTTCTTACTGTATCTTTTGCCTTTCTGGTCATCTTGTTGCACTGTATTTTATCTCATTGTTTTTATTATGATATGTTTGATGTTTTTGTAACATGTAATAAAATATTCAGGTTCAAAATAGTATCTAAATTGATTTTTTGTGTAAACTCTAATATTGTTATCACTTTGGGTCGACCTAAGTCTGAAGAAAGTGTTTTTAAAACATGAATTTAAAAAAATCTCACTCTGGTTTTTAGCAGTATATTCAAATTATGCACATTATTTAGTTTATTTGATTTAATATGTAATTACTGCTTCTGAAGCCCCATAATAGTTAGAGATTCCAGAAAAGTTATATGTTGCTCCGTAGCGTACTCTTTATAGTAAGTTTGAAGGAATTTCATAGTAGTTACCTTTAGGCCTTGGCTATAAAGAGCCAAAATCAATGGAGGATCACATTAAATCATACGACATTATTTTCCTATTATCTTAAAATGATTTTAATACAACAATATATATCATGTATATTGGACACCTCAAAGAATGTTTGAAAAGAGGTGACTACAATTAATGTTTGGGTAATTGTAGATTCCCTCAGGAATTAGAAAGTAAACACATATGGTTTGACTGTATCCTGTTATTATTGTGCTTGGGGCCGACATCAGCAAGATTATTAATATGACTCTGGTTCTATTGCAGTATGGTAAAAATGTGCATATTATTCTTGGCTGTATTCCCAGTATTTGGAATATATCAAGATACTGTACAAAAATAGTGGATTTAGAGAGCGTGGGAGTTGACCAGAAGAATTAGACAGCACTGGAAGGAAAAATTAAAATGGATTTGCAACAGTGTTTTTACCAACTTTACCAACTTGTTTTCGACAAAGAAGACTTCAAGGAATATTGTCAGTTTTTGTAACTACTTATAAATGCATTTTTAGGCCTTCTTTTTTCTTTTCATTTATATGTTGCTATATTAATCCTGTGGTGCATTAGTATTGTTATATACATTTATATAATTTTGTTTGCATTCTATTGTTACAAAAAGGTTCCACAAATGAAATATTTTCATTACTCAGCAACTTTCTACTTCTCAGTCGTAATCCCAGTCTTCCAACTTTGCTGCAGTTTAATCAAGATTCTTGAAATCTTAATTTTGGCATGTCCTGAAGATTTGAGAATCTCTGCAGAGTTTAAGAGATCTTGAACTTTTTTTGTTTAAGCCCCTACTTAACCATGTCATTACATCACAATGCTTTCATTATCGTTGAAGTTTTACAGTATAAGCTGAACACCCAACTTTCTTTCATCCCCTGATGTACAGCAGGTGACTGGAAATTGGATGCCTTTGGAGACAGTTACAGTGTAGAATAATGACGTATTAGGTCATTTTAGAAGTAACATTTTTGTTAAGGTTTTATATTGTCCAATAGATTAAAAACAAAGGATATTTAAAAAAGTATTTCAAATGCATGAATATATGTTTTACCTTAACAATCCAGGACTTAAATTGTTTAAAAAGAGGACAGAAGAAGAAAAAGAAAGGAAATGATAATATTGTTTTTTTATTTGTCATTCTTTACCTTACCTATATTTTAACTATATTAGCCCATGCTATAAATGCTAGTAATGCAATGTTAGCAATTGTTATTTGGGGACCTTTATTTAATAAGAAATATTGAACGTATAATTCACCTGAGTGGCCAGGGAATAAAGGCTCCAATACAGTAAAAAGCTTCTAAGAAGTCTACAGAAAATGCAGTAAAGCAGGTCATGGGACAAGGATTCAATGGCCCCTGAGCTTCATGAACAGAATCTCTTTCTGTGGGACCTTCCTGTATCGGTCTTCAAGAATTGCTGATGGAAAAATTAGAGCAATGAAAAAGCTTTTCAATATTTAAGTAGTCTAAATATCATTCTGGCTTGAAGGGATTCCTACAACTGTCCTCAGCAGTAATTTACTATACTCTGTGTTTTTACTTTGAGGATCGTTTATGGGGGTTGTATTTTTTTCAGTGTGTCACAGTAGATAAAAAACCGATTGCTGTTTTTCAGAGCAGTAGAGGTTCTTGTCATTGATGGCTGGTATTGGGAGTTTGTTTGTTTGTATCCTGCCTTTATTGTTTTTTTATTATTTTTACAAATAACTCAAGATGATGACTATATCCAAAACACACCTTCCTCCTGTTTTTCCAGAACAGCCCTATGAGATAGGTTGGGCTGAGAGAGATTCACTGGCTCAAAGTCACCCAGCTTTTTACTGGAATCAGACAATATCAGGGTTTTCTTCCTCAGCGTTTGAATTTCCTGTCTTATTATGTGCTTCTTTCAAACTTGAATAGATAGGCAGAATGTACCTATAAATACTAGGCCTTTTCTTGAGAACTTGCTACCTTTGTTTGTCTTCACCATTGGTAATTGCAAAGATATTTTAAAAACGTCTAATTTTTTTTTTATCTTGGGGGGAAAGCTTATTTTAATTTTCCTATTCCTGTGAAATATTTACTGCACTTTATTCGCTGTTCTTAAGATCTAGGAGTTTAACATTATCGCCTTAAGAAAGTGTTCTTCAATAACCTCTTGTTTATCCTTATGTAGAATTGCTCTATTTTCTCTCATCATTTGATTAAATTATCATTATGGTACATAATTTATGTCAGTAAATATATTTATTACAGATGACAAAAGAGCTGAAGAAAAGGCTGAATCAGGAGACGGTTCTTCTGTGGGAAAATCCAAAAGACGTTTTCCAGATTTTGGGTATGACTTTTTTAACAACAGAAAGTTGCATTGGTTTATTAAGCTACAATTCTGTTACATTCAAAGTTAGATATTCATCTGAATAATTACTGCTGATAATACATGTATTAAAATACCACTTTAAGTATGTCCTGGAATTTGTTCTATTGTCATGGGAATTTTTTTTTTTGCCTTATGCCACTAGAGAGTAAAATCATTGTAAAAATAGTGATAAAAATCAAGGCAGATCCTATGGAGATCTGCCTAACAACTGCAACAATTTGTGACCAAAATTATGCACACATTTATGCTTATTAAGTGAGGACTACTTGTATACATTTAAATAATGAAACCAAATTATTTCGTTCAGACTACTTTTTAACATCATAAGGAGGCTATCATTTGGATCTAGATTTAATTAAAAGTAGAACTTCTCTACTTCTCCAGAGAGCTAGATCTTTGCATGTAATGTTTTTGAAGTAGCCTAAAATCTAGAAAAATAGCTATCAGGTTTTTTTTATTATATAGCAAATTGCTGTTAAAGGTAAAAGACAATTTAGCATAATTGTAATAATAATGATGATGATGTTGGAAGGGACCTTGGAGGTCATCTAGTCCAACCCCCTGCTCAGGTAGGAAACCCTATACCATTTCAGACAAATGGCTGTCCAGTCTCTTCTTAAAAACTTCCAGTGTTGGAGCATTCACCGCTTCTGGAGGCAGGTTGTTCCACTGGTTAATTGTTCTAACTGTCAGGAAATTTCTCCTTAGTTCTAGGTTGCTTCTCTCTTTGGTTAGTTTCCATCCGTTGTTTCTTGTTCTGCCTTCAGGCGCTTTGCAGAATAGCTTGACTCCCTCTTCTTTGTGGCAGCCCCTGAGATACTGGAACACTCTTATCATGTCACCCCTCATCCTTCTCTTCATTAAACTAGACATACCCAATTCCAGCAATCGTTCCTTATATGTTTTAGCCTCCAGTCCCCTAATCATTTTTGTTGCTGTTCTCTGTACTCTTTCTAGAGTCTCAACATCTTTTTTACATCGTGGTGACCAAAACTGGATGCAGTATTCCAAGTGTGGCCTTACCAAGGCATTGTAAAGTGGTATTAACACTTTATGTGATCTTGATTCTATCCCTCTGTTAATGCAGCCTAGCACTGTGTTGGCTTTTTTGGCAGCTGCAGCACACTGCTGGCTCATATTTAAGTGATTGTTTCACCATTAAATTTCATTTTGTTAGATAGCGCCCAATGTTCAAGTCTGTCCAGATCCTTCTGTATCTTAAGCCTATCTTCTGTAGTGTTGGCTATTCCTGCCAGCTTGGTGTCATCTGCAAATTTGATGAGTTCCCCACCTATCCCCTCATCCAAATCATTGATGAAGATGTTGAAGAGCACTGGGCCCAGAACAGAACCCTGGGGCACCCCACTACACACTTCCCTCCATGTAGATGCGGTTCCATGGAGGACTACACGCTGAGTACGGCCGGTCAGCCAGCTACGAATCCATCTGGTGGTGATGCTGTCTAACCCACATTTTTCTATCTTGTGTTATACATAATGCCGAAAAGTACTCAGAACCACTGCTGGTATACAAGTCATAAGAATTCTGGGTGATAATAGATACCATTGTACTCTAACAAGAGTAAATCAAATAATTTGTGGCCTAAAATTTTGGAATGCCCTAGAGTTGGGTGAGGCCTCATATCTATGGGAAGCTAGGAAAACATATTATACTGTATCATTTTTTCATTCTTCAGTAAATAATTTTTCATAAACAGTATTAAGTGTAGCATATATTCTATTGTGAACGTTTTGAACTGTAAAATATATTGTGATTTATGTGTTTATCAGAGTAGAGTGATAAACTGCTATATTTTGGCTTTTAATGTGAATACTTTAGAATAACTCAATCCTGTACATGTCTATTCAAATTTGTGCTTTAATTAATAAGTCTTACTTCTAGGTAAGGATTGCAATTTAAGATTTATGAAGTGCTTAAGTTATTGGTTCAATATAATTTCAGGGGCCTAAGAAAATCAGGTGGTAAAGGCAAAAAGCAAGAAAAAGAAAATGCAAGAGGCTCTCTGGACAGCAGGTATACATAGATACATTCCAAGTTGAAGTATTTCTTTGGAACTAGAATTTTTTTTTCTGAAAGAATTCACAGTTCAGTATTGCATACTTTATTGAGAATTTCAGCCTTCAGGTGCAAGTGTTCTATCAATCTACATAATATAGGGTTTTTTCCATGTTAGTTTTTTAACAGTTTTATAAATTGTAAGATCTTTTTCCAGAAAATCTAGAATCCAAACACTTACTGTACCAAAGTCCTATACTTTTAAATTTTTGTTTTTAAATTCTGTATTTAAAAGTCCAAGTTGCACTGCAGTTTTCTTTATATATTTTTAAGTTATTAATCCTAAGATTACAGTATAATAACTTCTGGTGAAACTTTTTATATTGTATTGCTAAAACACTGTAAATATTCTTTTTTTTATTTCACACTGTCCAGCATAGTGTTGAATAACTATGAGCCATGTGAGGAAGTACAATTGAATGAAATATTTTATGTAGTATTTTAAGAACCAGTTCTTATATTTTTGAAGAATTAGTCCCTGTGTCTTGTTACGCACTGTGTTCAGAGTCTAACGGCAAGCTATATCATTTGGCCGTAGTATCCTCTGATACTATTATATAGCAATTTACTCAAAAATGGGTTAAGGTTTGAAGAGCTTGGGTTCATCTTCAGAATATTGTACAAATGATTCATTTGTGCTTATTGTGTCCAATCTATATCTTTAAAAATGTGTATTTCTGCTTTTAATTTGGAAATAACTTTATAAACATGTTTTAGATTTCAGAGACCTTTTTCAGATAGCTATGAAGCAGTTTAATTCTGTCCTTTTTATAAAATAAAATAAGCTAATAGTGAGATGAAAAAGCGAATTTCATGGATTAAATTGTGAGGTAATATTTTCCATACAGAAAACAACACCTAAAAGCCTGTTTCTATACCCAATCTTACATAAACTTTCCTAAAAAAAAGAAAAGTGCTACATAATCAGAGATTTTTTTACTTATATACATTTTCTGTGTACCTACTCCAAAGTTATTGCTAAAAGGTTTTCAGCACTGGCAGTTCTTTTCTGTTTGCTAGAATAAGACAAAAATCCCTTAGTAACAGAACTATTTTTTAAAATGCTTTAAAAATAGTAAGCCAAGCTTATTCACAGTTTATTAAATTTATTTAAGTTTTGTGCTATAAATGGTTATACTGAATGTTAAAATAGGAACTGTGACAAACACATTAAATAGCTTGATTTGCATGTAGAGTAAACGTTGATATATGGTTTTATGGACATGATATTATTTCAGAGGTTCCCGAGAATTATTGGAAGACCCTGACAACAATTTATCTGCCTCAGATTCCGATTCACCTATTCCTACTTGTATGCCTTTCTCTTGGTTTGGAGACAGCCATAAGGAACATAGCTCTAGTAGCACCCTGAGTTTTTCTCAGGGTGGGCAGGATATTGCCATTGAACAAAGTCAAGAGAAGACCAGAAGCAAGGTAAATGTAGTCTGTTTGAATATATTATGCAATTTAGATACACTGACTTCCTCAATAGTTAATATTGCTAGGATTTCCTAGAGTTATCTTATGTCTTCTTTGAACCCAAAGGACTACCTTATATCTTGTATACAACCTGGAAATGCAGTTTACATGTTAGTCATCACTACATATTACCGACGTTTCTGGGGATGTTTATCTTAAAACTACAGAGATCTCTCTTAATGTGTGAAATTTCAGTATGGCATGAAATGCTGGATAAAATTTAGATTCTACACTATGATCCAAAAAGGACTACTGAAATATGTAGGGTTGGATTCAGGCTTCTGACAAGGCAGTATTTCATTTCGAGTAATTCAAGTCATGGGAAAGAGAGCCCTTTTTCTTTCTCTTCAGTCAAATCTTCTATTTAAGGAATAATTCAGTCCTTAGGGCATTGGACTTAGCAGTGTAAAAGACTGCTAAGAGAGAAACAATTGTTGAGCTCGGTTCCAGCAGGAGAAATGTTTTGTAAGATCAGAATCTTTCTGGGTTCAGTGGTCCTTTCATATTGTTTATGAAAGGTAGTTCATTACAAACTATAAGATAATTATTTCTTTCTCCTAGCTTCTTTAAAATTTTATTTTAAAAAAATAACAAATTGCTTCTGACAGCTTTTCCAAACATTTATAAAGATATGTATAATTGTACAAGAGTTAAAGCAACTAACCACAAATATAGAACAAAATTACTAATGCTAACTTTCCTTAAGTTAACATGTCTCTACTTGGCAAATCTTGATTAGTAATGACGGATCCAAGGTCTTGCAAGATGGCTGTCAAGATGTTAAAAAAAGAATGTGAAATGTGGGAAGGCATAAATCCATGCCTTTTTTATTTTTGTTGTTAAATCAAACATTACTATTAAATCCCCTGCTTCATATTTAACAGAACTGCTAAAGTACTGAGTCAGAAAGTTGATATATGTGGCCTGTGCAGTAATTTAATTAATCAATATTAATTAATCATAGTAAGCAAACTACTTTTTGATACCAGTGATCCATCATATCATTTTGAAGAAATTTCTATCAACTCTGCAACTTTCTTGGTTAAGATGCAAACAACATATTCAAAATAGTAAAATTGTTCAATATATTTAGTGAAACTTCAGGCAATTTTTTCTTCTAAACTTCTTAAGCAATAACACATGGAAGACAATGGGATTCCTCTACTATAATAAAAAAATATTATAAAATTAAGTAAAAATATTAAGTAAATTTGCTGAAATGTTTATTGTTGAGAGGGGCTCTTGCATATTTTTATGTATCAAGAGTTGATATTTAGATAAATAATAAATAGCTAAATCTGTTAAAAGCTACATTTTTTGTGCTTACAGAAAGTAATTATTCCAAAGCTGAATCTAATAATGTCTCACCATCTAGTCTAGTGCTTTGTTTTATATCCCATACAGTGTTTATAAGCTTGCATTCTAAATCCTTTGTGATAATGTTAATTTCAAATTTAGTGGGTAAATCTTTCTATAGCTTGGTTTTCTTTTATAGATTCGTTTGCTATTTCAGTTTTGTGATAATCTTGGGTATGCCTTCCAAACCATGCTTTTTTTCATTTTGTCTGTCGTTTCTTTGGCAGATCATTTCTTATATCTTGGAAGCTTGCAAAGTATTTGCCAACATAATTTTAACCAATTTATGCCTGCTTGCAAATGGCTGAATGGTTTCCTTTCACTAGGGAAAACTTGTTTTTTATGGCTTGTCAGCTGACAAGATAAAGCGAATCAATCAGGAAAGTAGCTCTCTGATTAGATTCACAATCATCCTAAGGTTTAACTAAACCATAATATAGTTTTGTTTGACTTAGGATATTATGTGAATTTAGCCAGTGCAGTTTGTAATTCATTAGTGAAGCAATAATGGGTTGGATCCGGACTGACCATTCTGTGGATCCATTAGCACAATGCATACATTCATGTATGTTTGTCTAAGAGTCTTGTGGGACGCAAAACAAACTCTTGGTTGTTTGATCCCCTTACCCAGCTATTATATCTCCACTGTAGGGAGCCTGACTGGCATTTCCCTTTTTCCATCAAAATTAATTAATATTTGTACTACATTAAAGATATTAATTCAAGAAATATGAAATACAAATTGATTGAGTTCATATCAAATGGGATCATTTTAGCTGGTGCAATGTAATAGTTGTAGAATCACCACTTTTGATTCTTGTGTGAATATTGAATCCATATTGTAACTCGTCTTGCATAAGTAAGCTATTGCACAAATGCTTTTTGCAAATTATTAAACAAGTATGTCTATTAAACAAGTAGTTTCACATGCTATTATGATGACATCGTGCTAGTTGCTGTTAAAACTAGTTATACTTTCTTTATGTTGTGAAGTCCATTGGGTAAAGTTCCTGGTTTAACATTTTTTTCATGCTGTTTCTTGATGTAAAAGCTGGACCTCTTCAAGGAAAATATAAGGAGCTTTAAAGAGTATGTTCCTAATCAATTCTGCCCATTGCTCTTCAAATCCCTATTGATTGAGATCTTAATAAAAGTATTAATAAAGTAGTCTAATTTCAGTTAAGCTACTTGTTCTCTTGGTGATTCTGATCATTAATCCTTAGCAGTATTTGTTTGTAATGCAGCCCAAAATAACAAATACTAAATGAGTTGTACTAGCACGTAATGTTGAGTGACTTAAAAGTTTTAAAGATGCTCAGTGTCTCTGGGCTATGAAATATTAAGTAGCTAAACGGATACAGGTAGCCCTCAACTTACTACCGCAGTTGAGCCTGGAATTTTGGTCATAAATCATTGCCGTCATAAGTTGAGTCAGACTCTATTTTACAGCCATTTTTATGACAATCATTAAACAAGTCACAAGACTGTAAGTCCAAATCAAGCTCATCCAGTGGGCGTTTTTGCAAAAAAAAAAAAAAAGTGGGATCACAAAAAATGATCACATGATTGCAGGATGCTGCAACCAGGTGTAAATGTAAGTTGGCTGCCAAGTGTCCAAAATGTGATTACATGAACTGCCGGGTGGTGCAACAATTGTAACTTTGAGGACAAGTTGTAGATAACTTTTTTTGAGCCCGTTGCAACTTCGAACAGTTGTTAAGTGAACGATCGTAAGTTGAGGACGACCTGTACATATTTTTCAGCTTTGTAGCAGCAGCTATAATATACATTTGGAATGTATTTATTTATTAAACTAATATGCTACTCATCATGCCAAAGGCAACTCTAGGCCATTTAAAACCAATATAAATGCCAATATAAAACATTAATGCAATAAATAGAGACATTAAATTTGAATTTAAATTGACCAAGATGTCTTTTCCAAACATTATTTCCCTGAAACAATGAAAAAATAAATAATTAAATGTATTTCAAACTGGGACAAAAAGTTTATTCTGTGCAGATAGGCAGGATATAGGCATAAAAATAAATATAATCTAAGCCCTTTCAACTTATATGCAAGTATGTACTTAGATTTTTAACTCATTTTTAACAAGCATAATTAGGATCAAAATAGTTATTCTTTCTTATTTTTGTCACTTTGTTCTTCTTTCAAGTTACCCAGTTGTATACATCAACCCCTGACTGACCAGATGATGTTGTCAAAATCTTGTCACAGTGTCTGGAGTGTGTGGAGAACTGTATGGGGAGGAATAAGCTTAAGCTTAACCATGACAAAACTGATTAACTGTTTTTTTTTGGACCACCAAATCTGGAAATGTTCTCTCTTTTATCCTCAAAGGGGTTACACTTCCTCTTTAGGACTGTTACATAACTTGCGAATATTCTTGAACTATAGTTTCTACTCAAAGAGCAGAGGGCAGCTGTGGCCAGGATGGCCTTCATACAGATTCTTCAAGTGCTCGTGTTCATATGTGGACCAGGAACCCTTAAAACATTCATATCATGCTTTGGTCACCTCATGTTTGAACTACTGCAGTAGTGTACATGAGTAGCTCTTAAAGACCACTTACTGCAACTGTATGCCCACATAACACCTCCAATTCTTGAGGTGCCCTGGTTGTTAGTAAGCTTCCGGGTATTGTTCAAGGTGCTAGTGATCACCTATAAAGGCTAGTATAGGTTTGGTTATCTACCTATCTTCTATAGCAGGGGTCCTCAATCTCTGGGCCACAGACCAGTACCGGTCCGTGGCCTGTTAGGAACAGGGCCACACTGGAGGTGAGCAATAGGCAAGCAAAATTGCACATGCACCGGATCTTGGTTGCGCATTCCTCCTCCCTTCTTTCCCACACTGGAAAAATTGTCTTCCACGAAACCAGTCCCTGGTGCCAAAAAAGGTTGGGGACCACTATTTTATAGGTTCTGCCCATCCTATATAATTGAGCAGAGTGGGCATATCCCATCAATTAAACAGTATCACACGATGGGACATAGGAAATAGGCCACCTCAGTCATAGCACTTGTTCTCTGAAACAATATTCTTCCCAGATATTTATATGGTCCCCATTATTTAAACAAGCCCTTAAAGTTGGGCTCTTCCCCCAACTTTGAGTTACAATGGGTGGTGGTCCTTTATATGATGTTTGATTTGTGAGATTTCATTGTTAATATTTTTCAGACATTTCCATTCTCAGATTTTGTTATTTTAAACTTAGATGTCACCCAGACTTATAACAGAATCAAATAACTTACACACTTAATAATAATAATACAAATCACCCGTTTTAAGGAGACCTTTAATTTTCTTACAAAAACTTGAACTACACATTTTCGTTTCTTTTTTTCCTTTTGGATAACTATTCTGGCTAAATAAACTAATACTCAGATTTGTAATCCAAACTGTTTTGAAATGTATCTCTAGAGTCGTGGTTGGGATGAGCAATATCCTAAAACACATTTCCCATAAGACTTGAGCAAAGGTGTTAATATTTTCAGGAGAAAGGATTTCTGTCTCCTCTGCCCATTTGTGCACATCTTCTTAGTAAAATACATTTCTGAGGATTGTAAGGAAACTCCAAAATAAAAAGGCTGCAACCAGAAGGGTCAATCAACAAAATTGCTTTTCCTTTGCATAATTGGAAATAGCCAGTAGCTAATGCTGCTAGTGGAAATCTCCGTTTTCCGTTAAGATTTAAAACTTCATATCTGAGATGGCCACTGGTTTCAAGGAATAACTTTGTCACTAACCCTGTATTCCTAAAAGACTTCCTTCACTCCCACTGATAAAACCTCACTATTTATATATTTTATATGTTGGGAAGTAATACATAAATGATTGTATAAATGATGTATATCATTGTAGATATATATAGCTTAATGCTATTGTTAAGTAGGTGCTTTTTGATTTTTACTTTTTAAAAAAAGGTACTTTGTCTCCTTGTGATTTATTCCAAGGGATAAGTTAACAAAACATTATTTTCACTTGTTTGCAGAGTAGAATTTTCATAGATGATTCATATCATAGCAAGCCAAGTTGTGATCTGTCAGGGTTAGTGGCAGAGCCTAATCTTTCAGGGCGTTCACACACTTTAACCTTCTCTTCAGATGAGGTGAGTTTCAGTGTGTCTGTGTGTGTTGTTGATGTCACAATTCAGACCACCTTGTCATTTCAGTTTGCCTAACATAACAATAATAGGCATTAGTAATCCTAGCCAGTTTTTGGTCTGTTAAGTTCAATACATTATTTTTTTTCTTTGTCAACATTACCATTTTCTGTGGAGTTTTGTAAATAAAATAATAAATGTATAATACATTTATTACATGTTTTTCTAAATATAATAAATGATACGTTTCATTAAATATTTAAATGAAGTGATAATTTTATCAATTATTTGTTATAATTTATTTTTAAATAAATAATAGTAAATGTTACAGTCCATATAAAAATAAAACCATCATTTAGAAAATATATCTTTGAAAAGATAAAGACATTTATCTTTTCAAGCATGAATCCAATACACAACATTTTTTAATTGCAACCCAAATCTATGATTTATTGATTCTGAGTAGCTCTAATGAATCCAATATACTTCATAAGGAAGCTGCTGGTAGGATTGATATGAATGGCATGTAATGGCATTTCTAACAGAATACAGAGTTCTCAATTGCTATTTTCCATGCTAAGATGCTTCTTCAATCTTTGGACCATAAGGTATAATTCTAGCCGTTGAAATTATTTTAGAATCTTTATGAAGCTTTTTTTTTTAAGTGGGAAAATTGCATCTTTCAGAATTATGCAGGATTGAGTGAGGGCTTTTATTTTGTTTTTGTTTGTAATAAAAGATAAGCTCAGCATTTGCTGATAAGTGTTAACAGTCCTGCATGTGGTTTACTCTTAACAAAATGTTTATGCTAGTAATTTCTCTTTTTTTATGCTCTTGGGGCTTTGTAAGAATTTTATTTTGGAGTTTAATTTTTTTCTGTATCTGTGTCTTCCAGTTGTCTTAAGAATGTTGTATTTTTTAAGCAGTTTAATTATTTTTGGCTGTTTATTTTCTTTGTTGGAAACGAGTTAATTTTGGTTGGATGAGAATGATGGCTCCATCCATATATGTTTTGTTTAATATTATGGCTTTCCTATTTAAAAGAAATAAACTGAATTCTCTGGTTTGCTTGATACACTAAAGTAGGGAAAGGCAATCTGTAGCTTGTGCACTGCTTATTGTCTCCAAGCTTCTCCAATTTTGCAATATGTTTTGAAATTTGGTAAGGAACTCCTGAATAATGGTACTGTAGCCAAAAAATTAAAATGGGATTGGCCCAGCTATTTAACTCCCATCTTACAACATGTTAAACACAGTGAACAAAATTACTTTAAAGTTTACTGCAGGGGCCCCCAAGCCATGGGCTGTAGCCCACTACTGGGCCATGGGCCATGGAATTGGGCTGCGCAAGCAGCGGGCCGGCCCATGTGCGTGCAGCCCTTCCATGTGTGCGCAAAAGCTGCATGTGCGGGCTGGCTCACTGCTCACGCAGCCCAGTTCCCCTCTCCCCCCCCAGCCGGGCCACCAAGCCACAAAGGTTGGGGACCACTGATTTACAGTACTAGCTGACTACCTGTATCTGAATGTTTCTAATTGGCCAGACATACCAGCTTGTGTGATTTGACTCAAATTGTGCTTTAACTCATTCTAATTCACATTATGGCTTTATGCAATGTACAAGCTAGTTTATACTTCAGTCTGAGCAGGGCCACCAAGATTAATACAGTAATTGAATTTAAACTTGAGGCATTTTAGACTTCCTCTTTTGTTGTGAATTTGAAATGAATGGCATATCTTGGTCCAGAAAGAACATGCAAACTAAAATAGTAGATTGCCAGTTTTTAGCAAACAGGATGAAATTCCAGGATCAAATGTGTTGATCAAAGTATCAGCTACTTGCTAGAAATGTAATGTGCTATAGGAGAAATATGTAAAGTAATATGGGTTTACTGTTGTTAGAAGTGGTACTGATGACAAAGAATGTGATCTTTATCCTTTTAACAATATCTTCATGAGATACTGCAAACTAGGGCAAACAAACCAATTCTCCAATAAAAGAGTACTTTGCAGTTAATTATATATTAAAACCAACATAGAATTATGTATATATAACTAAGCATTACAATTGCTTCCATTGGCCCAATCACTGAATTAACAGAAATTGCATGTTAGTCAAGCAATATAAAAATGGTTTCAGATTTCATTTTTTTCTTTTATTTTTTCTAATTGGTCCATCTTTAAGTTCCAGGAAGCTTTGCAATAAACAATCATAGATGTCTCAATCATTATTCTGTACTTAGAAGACCAGAACCTAAAGGGTTTTTATCATTAATTTCAAATTATTTTTCTGTGTTCGACCAGTTTAATTATATAATTAGTGACGTTAATAACAAATGTAATTTATCAAACTGTTCTTGGAAGTACAACAGCCTCTTGCCAGGGTTTTGGCAAGTTTTGTTCATTGTCTTAATGATGCTCACTTTGTGCTGTTACGCACATAAAAAGAGCATGGAATGTTATTTAACTTCAAAACAAGTCACTGACTCATCTATTCAAAAGATGTTAACATTTTATATGGAGAACAATGTAAGGAATGGTCTCAGAGATCTAATGATTAAACCTGTTTTGACACAGGTGTGTTTTAAAATCTTCAAGTTAAGTCCATTGTGAAAGCCGCCTAAGATTTTAAAACACTGGAAATTGTTTTCTAGTTTTAAAGTCAATAAAATTATTGTTTATTGGGGAAAACTGATTAATTTGATTTTACTTAATCAGACCATAGATGATGAACCTTCAGCTACTGGAAAACAAAACCAGTGGCACAACAGGCCCATTTCTGAATGGACCACACAACAGGTCTGCCATTGGCTAATGGGAATGAACATGGAGCAGTACATCTCAGAATTCACAAGCAAAAATATTGATGGGCAACAGTTAATGCTGCTCGACAGTGAAAAGTTGAAGGTAAACCCATGTTTCTGTATAAATCTATATTATACTTAAGGTGTTAGTATAAATTATAATTTTTACTGTATTTAGTAAATCCTGAGTAGAACAGTACCTTGTAATAAATGGATTTTTATTGCAGAATTATGCAGTAATATTCCTTCCCTATGTAGGGCTTGTAACATTAATTTGTGGTTTCTTCTAGATTCTACATACTCTCTCCATGTGAGAACAGAATAATACACTGAATATTGTATTTCCCTAAATTATTGCATACTCCATAGGAAGGCAAACCCATATGCTTGCTCATCAATGAAGACATCCATTTGACACAGTTGGTTTTCTCAGGAAACAGCTTGTTCAGGATTATGTTGTAAAACCATTTTAGGATTTACCTCCTAAACTATAGGAAACAATCCAAGGCAAAACTATCAGAAGCAAGTCTCATTGTATTCAATGAGGATTATTCACTATTAAGCAGTATAGGATTATAATCTGTCCAAATTCATTTTAAGTTTTTATTTGGGTTGAGAAAGAGAATTGTAAGTGCATGATGTAATGTTTAAAAAAGCCAAAATGGGTTTATAGTCTTATCAAAGGTTGCCATCTGTTGATTAAAATTTATATTACATCGGTTTATAACATTACTATGATATCATCTATCCTTTTTAAGAAATACAGCCTGGTCTATATGGGTGAGGTGTTTTCTTTTAATTTTGTCAATTGTCCTGTGAAGTTAAGTTATTCCAGAAATTGCTGTTAGAGTGATCTTGATGACTGAGGAGGTATTAGAATCCTATTTGTTTTCTATTGGCTACTTCACTTGGTACATCTGTTTACTTACATAGTCTCTGAATGATATTCCATTTTTTCCCCTTCAAAATCCTCTGCCACAATACATTTTTTGAAAGCTCCCTCAGAATTCACAGCAGTCTGTACATGGTAATAAAAAGCAGCTGCTATTTACAAATGTGTGAACACATGTTTAGAACTGGTTGTTTGGTATTTTAGATTCTATAGGGCAACCTAATGGTTTTTAGAAGAAAGATTCTGAAAAGATTTTCTGTAGTCCAGTACATTTTATTTACACTGAAACACGTTGGGTTGAATCCAGACTAAGAATTTCAAAGATTCAAAGATCATCATGACAATGTTAATAGGTTTGCTATATTTGTTTGTTTATGGGATTGGTCTAAAATGGAGTTAGTGATGTATACAATAAGAAGCCATAACCAAAATAATAATAATATAAAATAATAACAATAACAATAATTTCTGGTGCCTGTAACTACAAGTAAGATCATTCCATTCCATTTTTACCAAAACTGGGTAAAAGCCATGACTTCCACCTTCCACAAAGAGCTGAGTCAAGTACACCTAGATTGTGAGTTTTCCCTCCCTGGGGCCTCATCAAGTCATGGGTTTCTGAATCCATAGCTCCTCCACCCTGTTTGGGTTAGGTCTGAGCCTGTTATTCCTCATCCAAGACCTGATAGTTTCCAAACACCAGTCAGATGTTAAACACAGTGATGATAAAGAACTGGATATCGCCCACATATTGATGATTTCTTTTTGATAATGTTGCCAGTTACCTCTGTAGAGGAAGCCATAGAAGTTGGAGTTTATTTCTGCTATAGCTGATACAAGGAAAATATTTTAAAAATTGAAATATTAATTTTTTGTTTATGGAAATTAGTACCACAATAAAAGACTCTCTTTTTACCGCATTCTGCTCTGCTCAACGTAACTTTTCTTTTAAAGGCTTTAGGAGTATCCAGTCAAAATGACCGATCAACAATAAAGAAAAAAATTAAAGATATTAAAAAAACACAAGAAAAACTGGAGAAACAGAAAGAAAAGTTTCAGAAGAAAGAGAAGGAAGTGCGGAAAACTGGCAAATTGGTGGCTGCCGTGGAATCAAGCTGCTAACATGATTTGATGCCATACTACTTTCTTCTAGAATAGCTGGAACTAAAGTAGAGCTATACCGATATAATGCTTCAGTCTTTATTGAATAAGGATCCAACTTGAGAAAATGTAACAACTGTATATTTCTGTACAATTATGGAGGGAAGAAAATGGTAGTTTTACAGTAACAAACTTAGTTTACCTCTGATTTCTATAGTCCTTTCCCATTTATACAGTTGCATTAAAATATTTTCAATTTTTATATTTAGATTATTAACCTGTACTAATGGATATTAAATTAACTATTTTTTAAGAAATATGTATATACAGTATGTGTCTGGCTAATTCCCTGAAGTGTCTTTGGAAGTGGCATATACAATTTATTAAAACACAAGATGTGATACAAATTACAGTATAACGGGTATCTGGTGAACAGATGCTATTAGGACATTATATTCTGTTGGAGATAGTTTGTTGCCCATAGTATTGTATAGAGAGAAATTAAGTTTTAAAAAGTAATAGAAAATTAATTTAATCTAATGTAATGAAGTGTTTACAATCTGTATTTTTCAGAGTTCATTTTAATTTCAAAGCATTGTAATAATATAATTCGTTAATATTTTCTAAAATACTTTTTCTATGTTTTTAATATGTTAAGCATGACTTCAAAAGTTATCTTTTATATACTTTTGTATACAATGTTTTTATAGTTCATGTGATAAATGTCAGAATGCATAACCCTTTCCTACTTAAATGTTTGGGGACCAAATTATATTTTTGATGATTTTTACATGCTGTTGGTCTTCTAGATTTACAATTTCCAGATAGAATTACTCTCTCTCTCTCCATTTAAATTAAACATGAGGTATCTGCATTATACATATTTACACTGTAGACTTCAAACATGTTTTTGTTTTCATGAATAATTATTTGTTCTCCAGAATGGTGTAAATCACAATTGGATTTGCCATTGAGCAGCAGCACAATCTTTTGTAAAATACACTTATCTTAGAATGACACTTTTGAAAAACGGAATAAATTTTGTTCAAAAAAGAGAAATCTGAATTTTGGAATGTTATTAACTCTTGTGAAAGTTGCACAATGCTGTAATCTAATAAGCAAGCTGTTGAAAAAATACTGTTTCAAAGAACCCAAATCACGATTCATTTTTCACATAAGCTTTTCACATTTTTTTCACAGAAAATTATGATCTTTTTGTTAAATCTGTACGTTTTGAGCCCAGAAAATCTATTCTTAAAGGGTGCCAAACTCACTTTGTACCAGGGCTCTCCAGATATTATGCCTCATTTTAATAACTATTCTAGAAGAATAGTTTCTATTCTTGAGGAAAATCCATTCGCTGAAGAAACAATTGAAGCTGACGATAATATAATGGCACTCTTTTCAGAAATGGAAGGCTACCCTGGAATCAAATGATTTGACAAAGAACAGTCAGAAGACTTGAAACATCTGAATAATGATCCCAACAAATTCATGTCAATGTAAGAACATCATGGCAAACCAAATAGTTCATCAGCCATTGTTAAATGGCAGGGTTAAGGGGAGACTTAAGAAATGCAGGCTTCCAAGGACAATGGAAGGGGAGGCCAGTGTGTTATACTCAGCCTTTCATAGAAAAGAACTAGAAACAGCAATTCAAGATACGAAAAATGGGATTGGATGATATTCGTGTTGAACAATTTTTTAAAAATATAAATTTTAATAAAACAATGGTGGTTCTCACTTTTTAATGCTTGTATGGCCTCAAAAGTGTATTCCAATGACCTGGAGGAAAGCCCAGGTTTTTTAATTTTTGAAATCTGGGAAAGAACCAAACAAAAGAACTTTTGTCCAATTTCCCTCATCTGCCATCCCTTTAAACTCTATGAGAGAGTTCTAATAAACAGAACGGTTCCTGTTATTGAACCAACTCTTATTTCCCTAAAAGCTGGTTTATGGTCAGGGAAGTCCTGCACAGGTCAGATACTTAAACTTGTCCAGCATATAGATGGCTTTCAATGAAGTCTAGTCAAAGGACTGATTTGCAGCTTATGACACAGTTAATCACAGGAAACTCCTGAAATTATATAATACCACACACAACTTTTTGACTAACTGCACTGACTCGACCATTCAGTCTGGGTAGCTAACAGAGACAATTAGAAAATTCAAATGACAATTTCATTCAGAATGTTCAGAGTCTGATTGTCCACTACCTAGACCAGTGATGGTGAACTTTTTAGAGACTGAGTGCCCAAACTGCAACCCAAAACCCACTTATGCATCGTCGAGTGCCGGGTGGGCATGGCCCATTGGGTGGGCGTGGCCCATTGGGTGGGTGTGGCTGCGGTGGTAACGGCAGACTGGGTGGACTAAAAAGTTCAATCAATTCCAACTTTGCAAGATCTTTTTTTTCCCGCGAGAAGTTGAAATTGACTGAACCTTTTTTTTTTTTGCACATGGCAGAGGCCTAAAGCGAAAAGGTTTTATAAAACCCAGCTGAAGGCCTAGGACTGGGGCGATGGTGCGCGTGCCCACAGAGAGGGTTCTGAATGCCGCCTCTGGCACCGGTGCCATAGGTTCGCCACCACTGACCTAGACTGTGAGATCAGATTTGAATTTTATTTTAACTTGTCTTTTAGGATGAGATTTCTTTCTGTTCTCTATAAAATGTAAATGTTTCAGTGCAGTCACATATATTCAGAGAAGCAGACTACAAACATTTCTTCTGGCCAGAATGAATTGAAAATTCATCTGAAACGAGCTGTCACTCATTAATACGCTGTATCTTTTTTTTTAAAAAAAGTCAAACTTTATTATTTCTTACAAAAATTAGTGTAATTTTTCTTACAAATCCAACTTTTCATAGTACAAGACTAATATTCTAAAAACAAAAAGTGATTGCTTTCCATTTTACTTTTCAACTATAAAGACAATGATTTTTGTTTGTAGTACTATCAATGTGAGAAATTCCCATAAAGGTGTATTTTTATTATTTTAAATACTGTATTAAATAGAAATCAAACTTCAAAATAATAGCAAATAAATCCATTTTGTAACCTAAACAATTATTTTCTATAAACTTTCAGTAATCTGAATTGTCAAAACACCAATACCATCTTATTTCAATAAGGACAACATATACATATATCCTAAGGCCTATATGCAACTCTAGTGGTGTCTGTTAAACCTATTTGTATCATTTTCAGTCTGGCACATGGCAGATAATTTCATTATTGGATTATCAGACCATCGGCTTATTTGAGTACTGTTGACATTTGTAATTCATTCAGGGATAGATAATACTAATCCAGTCTTTCTCTGTTTCCTTACCCAAGATTGTATTTAACCGAGCTTGAAAAAATAACTTTTCAAGGGCCAAATCCATCTATCAAGCTTCTGATGATTCGTGCAACAAATTATTTCCTTTCAACGATGATTAATTCCATAATGTAGGCTTAACGATGTACTGTAGCTCATTTGAAAACTCCAGCACTGATCTACCAGTTATTGAAAGGGTAATCTAATCCTGTGATTTAGTACATTTAGCTTAATTTCTGATAAGAGGAAATCCCTACACAAAGGTAGTTCTAGTCTGCTATTTCCTTGATCATCTAAAATCCATACATACGTTGGCACTGTCATGTTTTAAGGCTTTCTCCTAAGTAAAAATGTGTTAAGGATTATGGCCTTAAGCACTGTAACTGAGAGGGATGTTTCTTAGTTGCTATCTCAGTCTAGACCAGGGGTAGGCAACCTTGGCTCTTTTATGACTCATGGACTTGAACTCCCAGAATTCCTGAGCCAGCCATGCTGAGGGGAAAGGGAGAGGTTTCCATGCTGAGCCATGCTGGCTCAGGAATTCTGGGAGTTGAAGTCCACGAGTCATAAAAGAGCCAAGGTTGCCTCCCCCTGGTCTAGACTCTCCATTATTCTTCTAACAATTGCCCTACAGGGGGGAAAAAACCTCAAAATAGAAACACAAAACAGCCTGAACCTTTTCATAAGGAATTTTAACAGGGCTACTCTCAGAACATTTTTCCCCAAGATATTTCACCAGTTAGCCTAGAAGTGATCAGCAATTTCCATTTTTTTTAAAAAAATTAAAAGCATAATGTAACGTGTTTCATAAAAACACTCGCAACGAGACATTTAAAATGCTTTACACTCAAAATAGCTTTGTCAAGTTTACTAAACATGGAACAAAAAAGCCTGTTTTCCAAACAAGTCCTGGGTCTTCTGACACCTTTGATCTACCTTTTGTTTCACTCTCCCAAACATGGAGCTTATAATGAAGGCAGTAGTTCATAAAGCAAGGGACACAGGCTCCATCTCTGCTATTGTCCAGAGCTATTTGAGCAGGAAAGAACCAGTGTAAGGGAGGTTGGTTTATGGGCAAGTAGATAAATGAGATTTATTTTGGACATAAGGAAGAGAGGTAAGCATGATGAATTTTAAAAATTCCTTGTTATGGAGGAGTTTCTATCATTTTATTTACCTTTCTTCCATGAATAGCTGACCTGAGTTCACTGATGGTGCTTCCTCACTGGGCTGTTCTATGGCTATGCTGAACAATTGTTTTCATTATTGGTTACAGGTTTTAAAAAAACATTTTAAACATGGCTATTTTCTCTGTGGTAAGATTCACAGTATGTAAAGTTTTGTTCTATCAAAGCACCACCTATTTGAAATGTTTTATCGTAACTGCAGATGATAACTGCATATCATCTGGGGACAGTCTGCTTGAGTAACTGGGGAGTATGAAAAAAATAATAATGAGGGACATAAAAAGGTGCATTTCAAAAATAAAAAGCTTGAGAATTGAAATCATACTGAAACACAACGAAGTATAATAGAAGGAAATTAACTAATTTTAGTATTGAGTAAATGGTTCTACTTGCAGGTAAAAGCTTATTTTATGTATCTATCTAGTGACTAACTGCTTTGCACTTTTTTATTGTTTTAATTATCCTTATTGGCTATCTGTAATAGTTTTACAATCCAAGGCTCATTTTGCTGGGAGAGGGGATGTATTTCATCTTCTGACCAATAATATTTTTTTTATTATTCCTTCAAGTTTCCTGATGGAACACAGAATGTTGTCTCCTATCTCTAAGTGGAGTGGTACAATGACTACAAACTAATGCTCAACAACAGCCTCCCTGATGAAAGAACTCAAAGCTGTAAAAGGCATTTTTTGCAAAGGGGCTGGTTTTGTTTTAATTTCAAAGTATGTTGTTTCATTTTGCACATAACCCATTCGGTACTGATTGGTCTGAAATTCATTATATATCATCTCCTTATATGGTCTTCTGAAACTTTCATCTCAGTCTGTCAGTCAAAAATATTCTAGCAATCTTTTGATTTGAAAATGGGAAATGGGTCCTAAATCCAATCTGCAGTGGTGTGGGGCTTCATATCACTCAAGATGTGTATGATGTTTTCCCAAGTATCGGCTGAGGGAGTTAAGCCAATCTTCTTCTCTGTGTCCTACCAAGTCCAATTGTATTCAATGGGACTTACGATGTAATGTATTTTAAGTCTTCCGCTTCAAGCTACATCCTTTACTCATGCAACGGGATTTTATTTTTGAGTAGACATATCTCTAAGTTACTACAATAGTAAAAGATTAGCAGTGATATCAGTATTCAACTGATTTCGGGGGAATGAAATTTGTTTTTAACCTAAGTCATTTGTCAAACCTGCCTTGCAGAAAGGAAAACTTAAATGGGATCATTAAAATATGCCATAAAGCAGTGTTTCTCAGCCATTGCTGGCTGTGGAATTCTGGGAGTTGAAGTCCACATGCCTTAAAATTGTCAAGGTTGAGAAACACTGCCATAAAGGAATATAAATAAATCACACGGTATAATGTTCCAATTTCTGTTTTCTTAGAAAACAAGCATATCTCACTGTTCTATGGGAATATTAGAATAAATGTGAAAAGAAATGAATTCATTGTCAACCCTTACCTCACATATTGTGATCAAACTCTGAGGACCACTGTATTTGGCAGCACTTCTGCATGAGTGGCATTCTATTAGGAAGGGTTTTATCAACACCACTAAGTTCCCTGAACATAAATGGAAAATTCAGCCCAAGTTATACACTTCTAAATTCCATTAATATCTCAAGAGGAAATTAAGATTTAAAATCTTTCGCCTACTTAACCTGGTAGTAACTCAGGGGTCGGATTCTTTTCTAAGGACTCGGCTGGCCCTGCATTCTTAAAAGATCAGCTTTGCTTTCCCTGGTTGGGAAAACACTGCACCTGGACAAGCCAAGTGCATAAAGTCCTTTGAAATATTTATTTCAGTGAAAAAGATTGAAATAGTTCAATTTTCAAAACAAAATGAATGAGGCTCAAGAAATTCTACGTCTAGCTGTAAATATATACCTATAAATATAAAGCCAAAGAGTTGTTTACACTAACAGCAACAAATTAATTGATTCCACATAATGTTTAATACAAAAATGAATAAAACGAGATAAGCTCACATTGTTTTCTCTCACATTGAAAATCACTTTTGGAGTCCTTGAGGGCAAAAGGCTGCATTAGTGCGACTGATCCCAGAGGAGGTGTCTAAAGAAAATAATACATCCCATGAATTGTTCACTGGAATGACTGGTGGTTTAAGCAGAACAATATTTGAACCCACTGTTCAGGTCTTTTATCATCTAGACTTTGCTCAAGTAATATAAGGTGCATTTGCTGAAGTAATTTAAGATGCAAAGATAGAAAAGCTTCACTTCTTAGAAATGAACACTGCAGAAAACTCTAGGCAATGATATGGTTTTCATACTCCAGTTTGGATATGGAGATGCATCCTTCCCCGTTAAACATGTAATAGTGGTACTAAGTAGGCTGACCATCTGTGACAGGACCATCTTTGGCTCAGCACGCCTGGCTTCCTGCCTCTATGTACTGCGGAATGTTGTCATGTCCTTTGGTTCGCTACTTGGGACACACCAATCATCTGCTTCGTGATTGGCCGTGTAATGTTTCCAAGCCGATTTGTTATACACGGGCAATTTTTCAACAGACTCAGTTGATAAAGCCTGCAGCAAAAGAAAGGAGGACTGAGTTAATCACTTGCTATGAACAAGTTTTATATTTTAAACAGAAAGGAATTTGCCACCACAACTGGTCCCTGACATACCTTTATAAAGATAACAGCATCTGTGCCATAACCCTCTAGAGAATAGAGCTTCAGATCTCCTTGGAAGTACTGAGCATACAGACGCGATATCGGCAAACCATAACCAAATCCAGCCTAAGCCAAAAACAAAAACAACTGAAAATCTGAAACATCTGAAGCAGGTCTAATGCTTAAAGGACAGATGAATAGACTAAAACATTATTTTTAATCACAAAAAAGAACATGAAGTTACAATCCAACATGAAGACATAATATTCTCTGTGTTTTTTCCCATTGATGCCAAGGAATTTTTGCACAACTCGCATTTTGCCCTTTCCCTCTCTCTTCTCCATAATTCCTGAAATGCTAGCCCTACAGCAGGGGTGTCAAACTCAATTTCATTAAGGGCCGCATCAGCACTGTGGTTGCCCTCAGGAGGGCTGGGTGGGTGTGGCCAGGGTGGGTGTGGCCTGCTGGGTGGGTGTGGATGGAGTGGGTGTGGTCTACTGGGTGGGGGTGGCCAGCTCTACATCATTCACGTCAAGGGTGCCTGTGGGGGCCTGGGCAGGAGCGGGACAGATCTGAGGGTCTTTGGCAGAAGGGGTGGGACAAGGGCAAGTGCCAAGGCATGGTCCACTGGAGGAGCCTCACTGTTCCTCTCAGGCCATGAGGGGGGGCTGGGCAGCAGAGGTCAAATGCCCAGCCTGGCCCTTGAGCACCCGCGGCACCAAGCCCAGCCCCATTTCCTCAAGGCTGCTGCTCAAGGTTCTCCTGGTTCCTTGCTGTTTCCAGACAGCCTTGTGGAGCTAAGACTGAATGGTTTCAGCATAGATGGCCACCACAAAATTGTACATTGGCTTCCGGCTGGACTGGGCCAGGGACAAGGCAGAAGGGGCCATTCCCTCACTGTTTCCAGGATGGCTTCGCGGGCCACATGAAACCACTTCGCGGGCCGCATCCAGCCCCCGGGCCTTGTGTTTGACATGTCTGCCCTACAGCATGGGTGTCAAACTTGATTGTGTCACATGACACAATCTTTTTTTACTTTTGCAAAGCCGGGATGGGTGTGGCCTGCGCATGACACATCCGGCCTGTGAGCTGCCAGTTTGACAGCCCTGCCCTATAGGGACATTCAAAGAGTTTAGTGGGGCTATTTCCAGGCAGAGATTGCAGCTTTATGCAACCCATGTTTTTGTTTTGCTGCTGAGCACTAGTCCTCACAGATAAGGTGGTAAAATTATTTATGTCTATTAATGTTAACAGAAGATAATGTTATCTCTGCATCTCAGAAGTTTCATCAGCCAGCGTCTACAAAACAAGCTGCTACTGGAAGCAAAACACGTTAAATAATTTCCCCTCATCACATAACAAGTACACAGAAAAGTAGTTTAAAAAAGGTCTGAAAAGATATGGCCCTTTGTCTTCACCCTCCAAACAGCAAACTACTTTTTTAGTTCACTTTTGCTCTACCAAATGATCAGGGCCTTAATGAGATTGAGGTTTTTCTGTGCTTCTACTCAAGAAAATGTGAACATAGTATTTCCAAAGCCTTTTTCGTACCCCTCTTGAGAGCAACACTACATTGCTCAGAAACAAAATACTGTTTTCCAAGGCCATACTGATGCAGGAATAGTAACTAGGGCCATGCAATGCTTCCAATTTGGGAGGGGTGCTTCAGAGCATTTAGAGACTCTCACTCAGATCTCTTGGTAAGTCTTTAAAAACATCATACCTGTTTCAAGATATGTTAAGTGCTAATATTAAAGTGAAGAGTGCTAATGTTGGAGCCCAGCTCTACTTAGAAAAATGCCATTGTGCCTTTTTTGACATACAACAAACCATCATAAAATAGCTTTATAATAAAAAAAGTGATCCCTGAGCTCCATTCTCAAACACGTACAGTACATGTCCTACACAACTAGATCACTTAGTTAACTGGTTTATTAATCCAAATGAGCCATCTTGGTCAGGAGTAAATTAAAAATTAGCATGATTTTGAACAGTTAACCCAAACTTTAGAACATAGATTGAGGAAAGAGAAATTACATTTGCCCACAATGTCAAACAAGCTGGAAGGCAGCAACTATCTTGAACTTTTTCAAGGTTGGTTCAGGCCTGGTTTTGAATTAAATTCAGCCTTGATTGCCTAGATCAGGAGTAGGCAACCTTGGTTCTTTTATGACTCGTGGACTTCAACTCCCAGAATTCCTGAGCCAGCATGGCTCAGCTTGGAAACTCTCCCTTTCCCCTCAGCATGGCTGGCTGAGGAATTCTGGGAGTTGAAGTCCACGAGTCATAAAAGAGCCAAGGTTGCCTACCCCTGGCCTAGATAATTGCTTGCAAGAGAAAAGACAGATTCTGACTTGTTGATCATGTTTGATACCTTGGGTATTTTTGATTATCATTGATTTTTGTTTGGTCTTGAATTATTTCTTGGACTGGAGACACTGAATTTCATTAATTCTAATCTTACTTGCAGGACAATGTCAAAGAACAGCATCAGATGGCTATGTCTCTATATTGTAGCAACTATGCCAATAGTGCCTTGAGGATACTCTGTGAAACCACAGGTGTAGTTATTAGGAGTTTGGGAACTTGTAAATCACAAAAAGCTGTGTATCAAATCAGTATTTAAATGAGAAATAAAATCACTTTGATCTAGTAGTTAAGGCACCAGGTTAGAAACCAGGAGACTATGAGTTCTAGTCCCATATTAGATATGGAAGCCATTCTCTCAGCCTGTGACAACAGGCTGAGTTGACAAGCCAGCTGCCAATTTATGTCACAACCAATGGATCAATGCTTAGTTGATCCAAAAAAGGCAAACCCTGTACTTGTAGGAAAATTCTAGGATGAAAAAAGAAATGATAAATTAAATTAAATTAAATTAGATTAGATTAAAATTTGGATGAATGCCCATGAAACCTGACATAACATAGGCACTGTGGATTGCTGAATGGTGAATTTGGAAATTGGAGAATTTACCTGCTCTGAATGGAGCTGAGCTTCCTCGGAATGAACAGGTCCTAGAGACCCAAGTGATTTCCATTACTAGATGTTTGCTTTACCAGATTCAAATGACAGATTATGTCAGTGATGGCGAACCTTTTAGAGACTGAGTGCCCAAACTGCAACCCAAAACCCACTTATGCATCGTTGGGTGCCAGGTGGGTGTGGCCCATTGGGTGGGTGTGGCTGCCGTGGTAACGGTAGACTGGGTGGGACTAAAAAGTTCAATCAATCAATTCCAACTTTGAAAGATCTTTTTTTTCCCCGCAGAAGTTGAAATTGATTGAACCTTTTTTTTTTCCACACGGCGGCGGAGGCCTAAAGCGAAAAGGTTTTATAAAACCCAGCTGAAGGCCTAGGACTGGGGCGACGGTGCGCGTGCCCACAGAGAGGGCTCTGAGTGCCACCTCTGGCACCCGTGCCATAGGTTCACCACCACTGGATTATGTCCTTTATTAAATATAATGGGATTACAGTGGATTATGCACTGATAGTTTTGTGTTCTGACCACTGTAGGGCATTCATTTTCAGAAGCTGCAGCTAGTGCAGAATGCAATAGCCAGATTGTTAAATGATTAACCAACTATATACATTATTCTGCTACTGAAGCAATTACACTAACTGCCAACTGAATCAGACTCAAAGCATTTCCCAAAATGTCCTCCTGGAGGCAGGCCACCTTCATGCACAGGCACCTTCATTCTGAAATGCTGAAATTCATAGGGCAACTATATTGAAATCTAGCGAGTGCCTGTAAAGACCCATAACCAATCTGTCTTTGTATGAATGCTTTGAATATATCATTTTGCTTTGGTTCTTTTTTCTTTTATTTCTAAAACTGATACTATGTTACACTGTTTTAAAGCTACTGTTAATATTTGTAGTTTAAATTATTGTCAATCACTTTGGGATTTATACTGGAAAACAGCAGACAAATATATTAGGTAAGTAAGTTACATGCTGTTTAAATTCCCCAAAATGGAACCTTCCTGAGATCATGATTAAAGTTCTATTTTTCTCCTGGAATTCTTTTTTTCTTTTTTGCCTCTAAACCCCCCTCAGGACAGGTTTTTACTCTAGAATTCAGCACCAGTTTCAAAGTAGCTCCAGGGCTCAGGGGTTTCAACAATACTAGCAGTTGAACCTATTTGTTTCCAGTTGTTAAAACTACCGCTGACCTAGTGTTTTGTTCATCTGCAGATGCTTCAGCTCAGGGGTGTCAAAACTGCTGGCCCGCAAGTCGGGTTTCATCATACCGAAACCACGCCCACCCCATTGCCAGCAATGCAAAAAGAGTCGCGATACATCGCAACACGTCACGTGACGTGGCGAGTTTGACACCCCTGCTTCAGCTCCATTTCCCTGCTGGAGAAAACTCTTACCTCATCTCTCCTCAAAGCTCCTAAATTTCAGGGGCTGCAAGGATAATACCAGCCTTAATGGCTACCCAGGTCTCTCTATAGCCTAGACAAAATCAGCAGGGATAAGACTGACAAGTGCTTCCTAGTCTCTCCTCTCTCAGTAGGAAACCAGCCAGGATCCAAACTGCTAAGCTACTGAGAATGTCTCACTTCCCCCTCCCTCTTTAAGATGAGATTGGCACGGTGGGATTTTTATTGCTTAGGACCTACAACAGTGGTTCTCAACCTTTTTAATGCCGCGACCCCAACCGGTCGTAAGTCGAGGACTAAACCGGTCGTAAGTCGAGGACTACCCAACCGGTCGTAAGTCGAGGACTTTCCCTGCCCGGGAGCACCGCGCATGCGTGGTTCCGCCCCCTGCGCCGGCCGAGGNGTAGCTGGCAAGCGGCAGAGACGGAGCAGGCCGACCACCAGCTGGCCCAGCCCAAGGGAGGTAAGGCACCCGCCGGAAAAGGGAAAAAAAATGGCGGACAGCCTTGCTTGGTGACCCCCGTGAAATGGTCGATCGACCCCAAATGGGGTCCCGACCCACAGGTTGAGAACCACTGACCTACAACAATTTAGGGCAAGACCATACTTTATCTTTGTTCCCAACCTTTCTGAGTTGAGCAAAAGCAAATGCAATCATGGACCACCTTCAAACTATTCATGGGGGTTAAGAAGGGGTGGTGAAAAAATATTTCTCGCTATAGAATGTTCCAGAATTTGTTCATTCATTACGCTTGAATCATATGTTATGATTAAAGTTTTTCAATCGCATGTTAAAAAAAAGCTACTGGAAAAATAAGAAGAACTTGAGTTTTTCATCTCACAACTGAGAACGTAAAATATTATACAGGCTACAAACCAGAGGTGTTGCTCGTGACGTCTCAACGTGGGGACGCGGTGCAGTTGAATACATATAGTTAAACAGTCGGTCTATTTTTCTCAAAGGAACACCACCACCACGGTCACACATCTAAATTGTGGGGGGAAAAATACTGTACAGTATTGTGCTCCTGTTTGCATGTTTGGTGTGTATCTATATCTACATACAATGGGTCATTATTAAGAATATATTCTAGAAACAACAACACACAAATTGCAATCATACAACCAGTCCCTGATCTAGCTAAACAGACCAACAGACGCTTCTCGCTTATTCCAACAGTAGTCTGCATAGACAAAAAGGTTATTAAATTATGTTTTATTCTAATATTCAATACTATGATGTAAAATAAATGAACCGAAGCTTTAAAAGGTTTTTTTTTTGAAAATGCAACAAAAGCTAATTAAGAGCATGATGCAAATAAAGCAGCCACAACTGTGACCAGATTAGTCCTATTGCAAAAAAGGTGCAGCTGGTGAAAGATTTTTCTGTTCATAGTTTCCATCTGAATATTTAGAGGCAATGCTAAATCTAGGATCCCTTCCCACCCATCCCCCTTCTCTTTCACTCTCGGATTATTTGAATGTCACCTATTCTTGCACTTCTGGGCAGTTTACAAGTACGATAAAACACAAACAATAAAACATCTATATAAAGTATATAGAAAACTAATACAGGTAGTCCTCAACTTACAACCACAACTGAGCCCAAAATTCCTGTTGCTTAGCCAGACAGTTGTTAAGTGAATTTTGCTCCGATTTTACCACCTTTCTTGTTGTTAAGTGAATCACTGCAGTTGTTAATTTAGTAACAAATGACTCTGGCTTCCCCCATTGACTTTGCTTGTTGGAAGCCGGCTTGGAAGATTACAAATGGTGATCCCATGATCCTGGGATGGGACAATGCAACTGTATAAATACATGCCAGTTGCCAAGCATTTGAACTTTGACAACATGACCATGAGGAGGCTGCAACAATTGTAAATGTGAAAATGGTCATAAGTCAGTTTTTTAAGTGCCATTGTTAACTTCGAACTGTCACAAAATGAACTGTTATAAGTCAAGGACTACCTGTAGGCAGCTAAAAATAATCAAACACTAGAAGTAAAATTATTCAGAGTCATTGGATCAGGCCAGAGAATAAGTCCTATAAAAAAATGAAGTTGTGGCTCTGATCCCTGCAAATTGCTTTGCTAGTCATTTGCCAGATTTAGCGAACAGAAAATGTAAGACTATAAATAAAGACTTTACCTTCACAGTTAAATCTTCAGTGCCTAAAGCGACTTGGACATGAACTGGAGGATAAATTCCCCGATCTGCATGATGTTCCATGGTAGCCCTCATTGCATTCTAATTTTTCAAAAAAATAAAATAAAATTTACAGTCCATTTATACACATTTTTGCTTACTAAGTAAAGAAAGTATTTTCTACAAACGTATTCGACTCATTTTCAAAATATGAGAGAAGCAACTGTTTTGGCAATGTAGGAATTCTGGCTTGTCATAATAGTGTGACCCTCCTACCCTGATGTAGGATTATCCATTTACCTGCTCTCCTGAAAGTTCCCAAACACACAGGCTGTCTCACCCTCAGTGGAGAGCTGTAACGGTGTGGAGAGACACACCTGGCTCTAAAGTGCAGGTAAAGTGTGTCACATTTACAGAAACAGCCAGCAGACTGGCAATGCTCCTGAAGGAGAATCA